CTTAAAGTGAACAAACCAGAACATAACTAAGCATTTTGCTACTTATAATTTTAATGGTATTTAAGAGTCAAAGTTTGATGCATATACATGCATATTTGCATGATACAAATCAGGTACAGCATTATGGGGCATAGCACAGAAAGCTCTGCCTTACAGGGCTTGAAAGATGGCTCAGTTGGTAAAGTGCTTGCCATGCAAGCATGAAAACTTAAGTTCCGGTGCCCAGTACCCAAAGTGGCACCCAACTGTTATTCCAGTGCTATGGGGTAGAGGTGATGCCCGGAGCTCATTGGCTAGCTAGCTTGGCAGAACTAATAAGTTCCCAGTTCAGTGAGAGACCCTGTCTCCAAAAAATAGGTGGAGAGTAACAGAGGAAAACACCTGACATTGACCTTTGGCCTCCACGAGGGTATACATACATATGTATGCATACACACATACACACACACACACACACACACAAACCCATACACGCACAAACACATACATACACAAATATGGTTCATTATGTCATTTAAAAGTTCCCCAGTCCTTAGTTTTCTTATGATAATAGCAGAAGTTACAAACTATGTATTTTGGTGTTCTATAAACAGAAAGGGAAATTCTTCTAGTCAGTGAAAACTAGAAAAATCACTTTGAAAAAGATGCATTAAAATGTATTAAAAAGAGAAAATTTACTGACGGGAGAAAAGTGTTTTAATCTTGGGACTGATTAGTGCTTTGTAACAGCCCCTGGGAAATCCAGCCAAGAATGAGTCGGCTGGAAAAACTTGATTGATGGTTCCACTTATGCAGAACGCGGGTCTCCTTGTTATATATGTATTTTTGAAACTGGTGTTCCCAATATAACTGTCCCCAGTCCCTTAGACAAACAGACTTTTTAGTCAAGCAAGCACTCAAAGAAAAATGTCCGTGAAATGGTGGCTTTGTTTAGAATGCTTCAGACTTCTATACTGTCCAAGTTCATCTGTAAGCCATGCACTCTCTTAACCAGAAACCCAGTTTTTTAAACTTCTATTTAAATATGATGTATTCCATGCACCAAATACTTAAATCAAATGTCAAATATGTGAGCCCACTTCTTACATTCCCCATTCCAAGTAAAAGACCTGAGACCCGAGACCCTCCATCCTTTAGTATAGTCAAGCTGGAATGACTGGCTGGGGCAGGTGAGCATCTAAACAGTCATTAGCAGAAACACCTCTTACTCTTTGTAGAGCAGTGACACTGCTTATGCTTGAGAATGTCCTCATTGCAACTGGGTGATGAACCTTCCATGTCAGCCTCACCTTGACACTTAGCTTCTCACTTGTCTATCAGAAACCTGGGTCACAGAAGTTAGGTTCTCAACAGTACCGTGAACTTCAGCTCTAGAACCAACTCAGCTGTGGGAGACAGGGATAACAGACTTTTGCAGGGGGCTCTCTTGTCTGATAATGCTCAGTGTGCATTTTGTTGGCAAAACAGAAAACAAAAGATACTGGCACTAAAATATTATCAGTGGTTGTGTCTAGAGGGAAACTGATTTTTAGCTCCCTTTTGTTGTTGTCAAAGTTTTCTTTGATGATTGTACATTACTTTGATCCACTACAACAAAAGTTATGCAAAAGTTAAGTTCTCTTCAAAAGAGCTTATACTCTTTGGTACCTCTTAAGCACACAGTTCAATAATTAGATTTCAATAGAATCTCCTTTCTTCCAAGAAACTATAACAATAAATAACAAAAATGATTACAGTTCAGGAAATCAAGCAGATTTGTGGGTACTGGTTTTTGAAAAACTGGAACTGGTTTAGACATGCATTTCACTAATATGAAGAGCTTTTTAAAGATTACCAACTGTAGAAATAGAGACTAATTTTGTGTGTTCATGTGTGTGTTGTTGCATGTGTGTATGTGTGCAATGGTGGGTATCATCCTGACAGTGTCATCCCCCTCCTTTAGATATAGTTTCTCATTGGCCTGGAGTTCACCAATTAGGCAAGGCTGGTTGGGCAGTGGGCCCCAGGGATCCACCTGTTTTTGCCTTCCTGGTGTAGGGCTCACGGGGGCATGACCACCACCACCGGCATTTTTTCCTGGGTTCTTGAGATGGATAACTCACATCTTCCTGCTTGTACAGCAAGCACTTTGCCCACTGAGCCATCTTCCCTGCTGCAAGACACAAGTCTTAAAGCTTTTAATCATTCCTTTTTCTGTACACTGCCTAAAAGTTGGTATCTCTTACATAAACTATTGTCTATCATTATTTCATTGACTTTATCCCACTTTAAATACTGACTAAATACAGCAGCCCACATTCAGAGAAATAGCTCAAGCTTTTAAAATCCCACATATAAAAGGGGGGAAAGGTGTTTGATTAGTTAAACCCAAGGCTCAAGCTGCAGATAAAATGTAAACTATGATTATTTGTGTGTGTGTGTGTGTGCGTGCGCGCGTGCGCGTGCACAATGCCAGCCTGATCCAGCAAGAATGTTAGACTAAGGGAACAGTCTGTCTTCTTTCCCAACTCCTTTCACACCCCAGGGGTATGGTAGCCTGCTTTCTCAGCCACTCAGGGTCCACTGCTCCAGGGTTGAGGGAGGACTCAGGAGAAGCAGGGAGGACCTCTGGGCACACAGAAGCCTGTGTGCTGGAAACAAAGGATAATGGATGTCTTCCCTAACCCAGCCGAAGGAAGCAGAGACAAGTGAGCTTTCAAATTGTGGGCATTTGATTTGCTCCTCCGATTACACTCTTCCTATGTGTGCACACACACTCAAGTATTTATGGGTACATGTGTGCACATGTGTGTGAAGGCCAGAAGACAATCTCAGGTGTCACTTTTCAGGTTCCATACACCTTTCTGAGAGTATCTCTCATTGACCTAGAACTCACCAAGTAGGCAGGCTGGCCAGTGAACCCCAGGATTTACCTGTTTATGTTCATCTTGTACTGTGATCACAAGTGTGCACCAACATGCCTGGCCTTTTTTGTTGTTAACTTGTGTTCTGGGGATCCAACTCTGGACCTCAGGCTTACACATTAAGCACTATCAGCTGAAATATCTCCCCATCCCTTAATTTCCCTATTTCTATGTACCAAAGTTGAGTTTCCACATCACTAGTTACCTGCCCATTATAAACTTAAAACCAACATTTTGACTTATTTTTTCAGACCCTGCAGAAGATAGAACCGTTGAAGCTCATGACCTACTGCAGCCAGTTGGAGGTCGCTGGAAGGATGCCGGGTCATCTGCTTGCCAGGGCTGCTCTTGTCACTGCCTACCAACCCAGGCCAAACTCCGGTGCTCCATTTTCCAGGGCTGTCCTTTAGCCATCATCCTGTAGAAAACTCCCTGGCCACTTGCAGGGACCAAATCAGAGATCCTCACCTGGGGCCCACCCTTGGATGATGAAGAACACAGGCACTGCAGCAAGTGCTTTTAGGCTCAAAGCCCAACTTCTATTCATCACAAGCCACATGACAATGGACAAGTGTATGCCCCCCACCATCCCCACTGTGCTTGGGCTTCAAACCTACAAACTGGGCTGCATTCATGGACCTGTGAGGAAGGAATGAGTTCAAGTGTGCAGAGCACTCAGGGAAGCACCTGGTGATGTAGAAGCTCTTGGCAATGTTAACCGAGACCCCAGTCTTCACAGTGTTAAGATAACCTATGTTCCTGCTCACCGATTGAGGAACTGGAATGATGACAACATGCCAGTGTGGTGAGGAACTACAAAGAAATAACATTAAGAAAGGAACTGTGGCATTCTGTATCTGTCCCTCAGTGCTCAGAACTCAAGTTGCGAGGGGCCTTGACATCGGGACTATCCCCAGCAAGCCCTTACTAGAGCTCTCACTGCCTACTTCACCTGCAGCTTCACAGCTCTTACCATAAGGGTGAAATATCTGCAGGTCTGTAGTTTAAAAAGAAAAATCCAACATGTAAGCACAGCTATCCAAAGACCCTAGGTCGCCACCATAGGCCTAATTGCTAGTTCTCTCTGCCACCCCTTGAGCCCAGAGTACATAATCACCCAGTAATTGAACTGAAACGTCTAAATGGCTGAAGCTCCTAAAGGACACAGCTATTTACCAATGAAAGAAATCAGAAACACTCAGCAAGCCTCCCTGTGCTCCACTGCATTAGCAAAAGCCTGTGCAAACATGACTGGCCAGGCCCTGCACCACTTCCTCCCACCATTAACAGAAGCAGTGGGGTCCTCACCTCACCTCACCTCACGGAGAAAGCCAGGGAGTCAGTGAACCATCACCACTGCTCAGGCGCTTCTGAACAGTGTAAGTTCTAACCTTTCTTGGGATAGAGAAGATAAAATAAAATTTCCCATCTGTGTTATCAAGTGCTTTGATGAAAGTGACCAGAGGGCCTCAGTATCCCCAATTCCCTAATCATGGACTGAGACAAGAAGTTTGGGAATTCAGGAGCTGGGTCCTGACTCCTACAAGCCCTGTGCCTGGACTTCTTGGTGGAGCCCTCAGCATGCCAGAAGAAACTGCCAAAGTAAGACTCGGCTCAAGCACTGAATGGAAAAACAACCAGATGGCAATAAACAAAAAAGGACAGTTGTAAAAGCTCGCGAAACAGGTTTTCTTTTTTTTCAGAAATACAGAACTAATTCCAAGATTCCTGGGGTCTGAACTGCTAGAGTGGGGCCTAACCTGCCATGTGGCATAAAGTCCTCCAATATACACAAAGGCCAATCACAATTGTGAATAGCGCAAAAGGAGGCTCTGAAAAGAAGCAACGTAGCCCGTCCAGGTGCCAAACAGCCAAGGCCGAAGAACTAAACTCCAAAAATCCTTGACACCAGTGGAAGTAAAACTTTTAATTACCGATTTTACATGCAATGCTTCTTATCTGAATGAAGCATGTCAGCACACAAATCACGGAATGATGAGTCTGAACAGAATTTTTGTTGGTTGATTGCATAAGCAATACCTCTTGTGGTTGAAATAACATCTCAAAGGGAAAATAATGATGACATGACAATCTGTGTAAATCAAGAACTGCGTGTGGGTTTATTTTACATTTGAGAAAACAGTGGATTTAATTGTGTGAACCAAAATGTACTGTACAATATTAATGACGGGACATCAAAATGTATAATTAATAGTGCATTGCTTGCTCTGTTTTTATTTATTTATTTTTGTCTGATAGTTCCTCTGAGTACATGCATCTGAGAAGATGCAGGTGCCAGTAAATTTCTCTATTTAAATCAAGCTGCAGGAACTAAATTTTATCCAAAAATCGTGGTTTTACATTATATACACAGAATTTAATATAAAATGACAATATAAAAAGTTAAAAGAGAAAGCATACAGCCAGAAGGTACAAAGAAAGTTGAATAGATTAAAATGATATGGTATGTAACATACAGGCGTGTTGAAGCTGACACTGGCAATTTACAAGGAAAAGATCCAACATTTGCCCCATTTTTTTTTGATTTTTTCTGTATTTTTTTCTCATTTATCAATGCATCACGCTATAGAAAGGTCAGCTGATACCAAAGCTTACATTTGTAAATAACTATAAACCGCAATATTTTACAGGAAAAAAAGAAATAGCATTTTTACACATTTTTAAATAATAAGCTTGCATACTTTTTTGCCAAAAGTGGCATTTTTCAGCATCCAGGGGGTTTGGGCATAGTGGCAACTGGGGTATTTGTTGTTTTTGTTTTGCTTGCTGTTTGTTTCAAACACGTAAAGTTGTGGCTTCCTAACCCCATGAGTCCTAGACAGCTTTCTGTCTCCAACCGCTGCATGCATGGCTCCTCACAAACCAGTCCTGCATATAAAAGCTCATTTTTTAATTATTAAATAAGTTTTGTGTCTGACACAGCTTTTGATCTGAATGAAATGCCTTTAAGCGCCTTTTTTTCCTTTTTTCTTTCTTTCTTTTTTTAAAATTTTTGAGTGAAAGGCACAGAGATAAAGTCCTTAAAGGGTTAAACTTGACACTACCAGATCCTGTGACCTTTATTGTCATAGCAAGTTCACAATTTTAGGATGTCTCTTTATCATTGCTATTTGTGTCTTTCTTTACTGCTAAATAATGTCTCCGAGTAGTGTGCCCCACTATTTCCTACAAAAGATAGCTTAACATCAAGAACAGATGCCGAAAATAAAGGTCAGACTTTGACTCACGGAAAAAAGAAAAATAACATGCACAGATCAGACAAAGAGCATATAAATATAACTACAAAATATGTGTAAGAAAAACGAAGTCCAGATAGGCAGTTCAGCAACAAAGGAAAGACTGATTTCAGCGGCTCAGGCCAGGCCTAGTGCAGGGCGACGACGACGTCTAGTGCAATGTTCCGCAGTCACTTGCATACCTGGACGCTATTGCTTCTCCAGCTCGGTCACATAGATCAGGTGGTCCTCTGGCGACTTTCCATGCGTCTTACTAAGGTGCAGTTTCACTGCGTGCTTGCTAGCAAAAGTCCGGTTGCAGAGCTTGCACTGGAATGTGGAGCCCAGGTCTTCCTCGGCTGCCCCCAGCGGGCCCAGAGTCTTGTTGACAAGGACTTTGGAGACGCTCTGCTGCTCTTGAATCTGACTGAGTGGCAGCTTGGAGAGGTCCTTCAAGCTGAAGCCCAGGTGCGTCTCCAGGTGGCTGATGTATGTGGAAGCAGTTCTGAACTGAGAGGCACAATCGTTGCAAAAGAAAACAGGATGCCCTGTGTCAAGGTTCTTAAGGAACTTCGTTCCCCCTGTCCTCCGAAGCTGATACTTCACATTGGCCAGCCAGTGGCTGATGGTGGTCATGGAAAGGCCTGTGAATTTGGAGATGTGGACCCGCTCCTGAGGGCCCAGGTCTGACATGATGTACTTGCCCTCTGCTGTCTCCCTCAGGCTTGAGGCAAATTGGGCCTGGAGGATGAGTAAGTGCTGTGGGTTCCAGTTGGATTGGCGCCCCTTCCTTTTGTGGACAGGTGACAGCTCATCTAGCGCCTCCTCAAAGCTGCTGCCATCTGCATCTGACTTCTCTGACACTGTGGAGGGTGTAGAGGACTTGGGGGTCAAACGGCCCGTGAGGTTTTTTACCATGTCGGAGATATCCATGAGGGCGCTCTCTCGCAGAGGCGAGGACACAGCATCAGCCACGCCAGAGACCAGGGGTTTGTTCTTGGACTTGGTCAGGTCAATGGGCTGGTCACTATTCTCATAGTAGTAGCGATCAATGGCATCAGCCTGCTTGGCAGGGGTGGTGGGGTAGACAGGCTTATCCAGCATGCTGTTGCTGATTTTGTAGAGCATTGCCAGTGGGTCTAGAGAGGGGCTCACAGGCTTGGACACCTTTCCCAGGTGGGTGTTCATGATGGACTGCAAAGCACTCAGTGGGTTGATGAAGGAAGGTTCTGGTGAGTGATCAGTGATGATACCCAGGTTACTGCAGCCATTGGTGACCTTGGCTTTGAGAGGCTCTGTACCATTTGGTGTGTGAGCATCTAATGGACCCTCCTTTTTGGCTTTTCCAGTTTCCACATCTGGGCCCTTCTTCTGTTGCCTGCTGCCAGTTTCCTCTGACTTAGGAAAATCTTTGTTCTCCTTTGCCACAGGGGAGGTGGCCTTGACAGGAGAGCTTTTCTCCTTTTCAGCAGGCCTCTCCTCCTTCTTGATGCTGACCTTGCCCGTGACCTTCTCCACCAACTCCTCCATGGCAGACACGTTGCTCTTATGGGGTGGAGGTGTAAGGCTCCCTGGGGAGTGTAGGAGGGCATTGTGCTCTGTGGAAGACAGTGACTTCACACTGCTGGCGTAAGACGGCTGGACTTGCACACTCTGTACGGTCGCCTGCAGTGGTTTCACTGTGCCCGGCAGCTGATAGGCCGCATGAATGCTGGGGTAGCCGCCCCATGAGGGGGCACCATTCTGGGCTTTGCTGATGGCTGTGGACACGGTGTTCTCAAGGGACTTCAGGATATCCACGCCTCCCTTGGGACTCTCGTCCAGGTCCTCCTCACGCAAGTACTGATAGAGGGCTGTGGGCTCAAACTTCTCAGTGGTGTCCTCATTCTCCTCTTTGATTTTCCTCTCTGTGTCCCCGGCAACTGGGGGAGCCTTCTCCTTCTCCGGCTCTTTCTTTTCTTCTGAGGCTGCAGAGCCTGCCGGGGAGTCAGGCTGTTTCTTGATGCTGGAGGCAGGCAGCCGGGTATGAGTGGTGGGGGGCAAGGGGATGGACTGAATCTTCTCTTCCACCACAGGGTCCAGCACCAGCTGTTTTCCTTTCTTGGAGGCAGATGTCGTCACCTTTAAGAAATGGCCAGTGACCATCATGTGGGCTGTGAGCTGCTGCAAGGTATCATGGGAACTGCCACATTCCATGCACTTGAGAATCTGGGCTTTGCGGGCCTCAAACTGCCATGTGTAACTAGCACCGTTCTGGTAGCCATAGCGGTTATTGGGTGTAACGTACGGGTTAGCTGTTTTCTGGTCCTTAGCCGACTCGCTCAGTGCAACCTCAGCAGCCATGCCTGTGGGCTCTGGGGAGCAAGGGGACACCAGGTCCTGAAGTGCTCGCTTCTTGGTGGAAGGGACCAGTTTGGTGATGGCTGGCACAGGCTCCTTCAGAGGCACTTTCTGGTAATGCTTTGTTTTGATCATGTGGACACTGAGGTCTTGCAAGGACTCAAAGGAATGTCCACAGTACATGCACTTCAGCACCTTCTGTGCATCTTCTTTCCCCTCCATCTCCATCAGGGAGCGTTTCCTGGGCTTGGACCACCGCTTGGTCTTCTCAGAGTCCTTGTCCCTGTTGTCATCGCGGTAGTGACCCGTCTCATTCATGTGCACTGTCAGTTCTACTAGCGTGTCATAGGCTGCACTGCAGTCTTTGCACCTGAACTTGCTGGCACCTGTGAACACAGAGCCATACAGCTTGTTGTTCTGTCGGTAGAGCTGCACGGTGCTGAACAGGCTGGGCTCGGGCAGTAAGCCATATGATGAAGTCTGCTGCAATGTCTTGGCCAGGGCAGCCTGGTGCCAGTCGTACCCTGAGCCGTTACTGTTACTGGTGGTGCTACTGTGGCTGGTGCTGGTGCTGCAGCTGGTAATGGCCGTGGTGGCTGTGGTACTGGAGGTGCTGGCGGTACTCGTGGGGGGCGTGGGGGTAGGCGTGGAGCTTTCCTTCTGGCCAGCATCACTGTTGCTGGTGGCTGAACTAGACTTCTTTAAATCCAAAGCTAAGCTAGACCAGCAGGACTCTGAGAACAAGTTTGCATACACAGCTTTGATTTGTGCCAAGCTGTCCTGGGGGTACGAGATGTTGTCTGGACACTGTGGCTCCTCCTTCTCTTCTCTGGAGGAGGAGCTTTTGAAATGGCCCAGCTGGTCGCTGCTCTCGCTGAAAGGTGACCCATAACCAGCGTCCTGATTGGTAGCAGTGCTGACTGGGGAGTTCTGATAGCTCTGGGCCTCTTTGATCTCTGTCTCTTCATTGCACACAAATTCGCTCTCCTGGATGTCCAAAGACAGCCCACCATCCTCCACGTGTTCTTCATCTATCTCAGCTGCCTTCAGTTCTTCCTCGGGAACATAAGCTAGGAGAGAAAAATTAAAGCGCAGTTAGAAGGAGTAAATCATCTTCAAGGACACAGCCTCCCCAGCAGTTAGGTGATCTTTAAAAAGATGTTTTTCAGCCAGGCTCCCAGGCTACAAGGCCACCCCAACTCCATGCATCTGCCCACTGGGCTATAGCAAGGCTAGAGTAAGGCTTTGCAGAGACCATCCCCCACCAAGTAAAGGCCTAAGGCAGCAACCTGAAACTCAACACATGGGCTGGGTCCTTCCTCACTTCCTCCCTTCCTTCCTTCCCTTTCTCCCTCCCTCTCTCCTTCTCTTCTTCCCTTCCTTCCACAAAGAGTCTCATGTAGCCCAGGCCAGCCTCCAGCTCCTGGTCCTCCTGCCTCCACCTCCCAGATGCTAAGATTATAGGCATGCACCACCAAATTTAGCATCGCTTTCTCAAAGACATCAGTTTGGTTAAGGGAGCCAGACAGTCAGGCAAGGAATCCCACCACATGCCCTGGGGACTCCTCCTACAGGCTGCTCCTCAAGACCCCTGTGAGTTCTACTGGCAAATACACTGAAATACCCATCAGGAGGAACTCAGCTTTCTTTTTAGAGCAATGTATTTCACAGATAATATTATATAGTTTCCAGAAATAAAATACTCCTTTGTGGCAAGAAATAAAAATACTCTATAGCTTCCACAAAAATGAATACGTAACAAACCACCAGACGGCTGCCTGGAGAGAGGAGAGTGCCACCTATAAGGGACCAAGGGCCACTGCTACACAGCTACACACAAAGCCACATCACACACCACAGCCAAAGGAGGAAGTAAGGCAAATGTCCATCATGCAGACAGATGTGGTCACCCAACGCCCCAGAACATCCAGTCCTAGAAGAAAAGGCACTGAGCAGTGATTGCAATGACATGGGTGGACTTCAAGGACCTGCATGAAGTGAAATGGGCCAGTCACGAAGGAAGGACAGTTATTGTCTTGTTCGCATTATACAAGGTCTGTACAGAAGTCAAGTTCACAGACATAGAGAATGGTGGGTGGCAGGTCCTAAGGGCCTGGAGAAGTGGGAAGACATGTCTCCCAGATAGAATTTCAGTTTTGCAAGATGAGAAAATTCTGGAGCTGGGAGGTGAGGACAGAAGCCAGCAATGACAATGTTCTGGGTGCCAATGAACTGAACCTTTAAAAATGGCTACAATAGACTTTTTATAAGATAAAAACTTCATCATAATAATCTTTTAATTATAAAAAGCAACAGTGTACCCTCCAATGCCCTACAGGCCTATGGATTTGTGGCAGGAACACAGACTGAAGGGCATATACAGTGCCAAGCAAAACCTTGATTTTAACTTCAGGTCATTTTGAACACTGTAATAAGTGACATATCTTGCTACTGACATATTTTTACCAACCCCTAAACTTATATAATGTGCTTTTTCTCTCTCTTCCCGCCTCCTCCCCATCCCCCTCTCTGACAGAAAAACTAGGTGACCTAGTGTTTCATGAAAAAGTAGGAGATTCCAGGTTGAGGTACTCTACAGCAAGTTCCTATTAAAATGCACTGATGTGACCTGAGAGGGGTGTCTCATTAAACATGATCATTCATTATCACATTATCAGAGCCAGATCCTAAGGGAGCATGGCAAAGAGCACAAGCATTTCAGAGAGGAGTGACAGGAGGGACAGAGAAAAGCTCTATGCTCCAAGGAAAGGTGCCAGGGGTGGATGGGAACACCAAGAGACCTCTATACCTGCAGATGATAGGCTTCAGGTTCCAGGACAACAGGCACTCATAGTACATGAATGGCCACCCCTGCACATATAAGTCCACACATGGAAATGTATGCACAATCACACGGTATGTGTAAGTCCACACATGATCATCCTATATGTTATGAGCATGCACATGACAGCACACACACAGTCACCCCATATGTACAAGCACATGCACAACAGCACATGCACTATTACTCCTGGAGACAAGAACATGGCACATGTGTGGTCACCCCTATTCATACTTGGCAATACATGCAGTCACCCATATGTGCAAGCATATATACATATATGCATGATCACCCTGTTATGTACAAGCCCATGTATGTTTACCCCATATGTATGAGCATGCATATGACAGCACATGCGTAATCACCCTGTATGTGTGAGAACACACACAACAGCACAGATATGGTAACCTCATTCTCAGGAGCACACACAGTGAGAGACCACTGGATTTACGACAAGACCTCTGAGCTGAGGCTCTGCAACATGCTGCTTCTCCTCTGTGGGAAATCCCAGAGCAGCCTGAGCACACACACCCCCTGCTTCACAGCAGAGCGGAACAGCAGTCCACTAACAAATCAGGAATTGTCATTCTGCTAATGCTGCACAGCTAGAGTGAGAAACAAGCAACAGTGCAAGACCTCAGCTGTTAGCTATGGGCATCAACATCTGGGTAGTAGTCCAGATGACTCTAGAGCCCTCTTAGAAAGTGGACCGCTCACAGCATTCCAAGACAATCACTAAATTCACATGCATTTTCATTTTGCTCACAAGAGCCAAAAGTTTAAGATGTCCGGTTCTAGGACATCCCATCAGGACCACTGATCAGGCTATACTGGTTGGGTGGTTGGGGACAGGCCACCTCCTCTGAAGATGCTAGTGAAGACACTTGAGCTTCCCACAGATGGACAGTGGCAAGTCCCATGGACACTAGAAGGACTCTGAGCCTGCATTATCTTGGGGGGCAGCAGACCTCAGGCAGGCATAAGGGCTGGACCTACTATCAGCACCTGCCTCATGGACTAAGCATATTCAACCCCCCTGAAAGGAAGCTCCATGCCTCACAATGAATTTTAAAGGAAACATTCATTTGGCTAGCTTACCTCCACCAAGGGACCTATTGCTTGCCTCATACACATACTTGTGACAGTTTAGTCCGTAGATGAGGCACAGCCAGAGGTTAGCAGCAACAATGATATAATAGAGCAACTGCAGGTGAAATACAGCAAGGGTGGCTGAATACATGCACTGTGACAACATATCAGCTGCCTAGTAACAGACAGCTGCCAAGTTACTAGCGGGAGGGTTGTGTACACCACACGGATTCTCTAGACAATGGGATGGTCCACACCCTAGGTGAGAGAGAGCAGGAAGGAGGGTGTGAGGTCCTACCATTCTGCCCAGAACAACATGCAACTTAACTTGTAAATTGTTTATTCCTAGAATTCTCCATTAAATATTTTCAGACTATGGTTGAACAAAAGTAACCAAACTCATGGAAAATGAAGTTATGGATAAGGGTGGAGTACTGTAAATAGCTTCATATTTGTCAGCTTGGGCTACCACAGTCTGGTGGCTTCACCAACAGAAATTTACTTCCTACAGTTCTGCAGGTTGGAAGTCCAAGACCCAGGTCCCACAGGACCTGATTCTGGCACAGCCTTTCTTCACAGCCTACAGGCAGTCACTAGGCCCTCATAGCCCTGTGCACTGTGTGTGTGGAAATGGATCCCTCTCTTCTTTTTCTTAGAAGGTAAGCTCTAATGGAGTTCATTCCTACCCTACTGCTGTTTTAATCTTTAATTACATTCAAAGGCCCATCTCTGTATGTAGTTACTTTGGAAGTTAGTTAGGGCTTTAGTGTGTAAGTCTGTGGGACACAGTTGGTTCCTCAGTTAGAAATGGGAACGTTAATGCACTGTGGTATTTGTTCAGCACTGGCCAAGTCTTACCCTCTTCATGTGAGACAGGGTAATGGGCAGGGGCAGTGCCTCAGGCCTGGAATGTAGGTATCTCATGTCTGTAGTCTTTCCCCATACCACCCTACCCTTTTGCTCCCTTCCTTATCCCAGCAAAAGTAAAGTCATAGGGACCATACCCCATTCCTACCATTCCTCCTCCCAAGACCTGGCCTGCACTTCAAGGCTCCTAGACTGAGCTAATATGTCTATCAATCTCACAATGCCAGCATAGCAAACAGTGGTATGGTGACGTGGGGTAGAACCATACAGAACAGGAGCCCCAACCCCAGAGGCCATCTCTAGCCTCCACTCCTCCACCTGATGCCCATTTCTACTGTTTGCTCTTTGGAGGGTGGATGTGGAAGAGAGTCCATATCCCAAGGGAGAATAATGCAGAGGAAGTCTGTCAATTGAGGTGAGCAGTTTCAGAAAGGAGGGGAGCTCCAGAGTAAACCAAGGTGCAGGCAGGGTCCTTGGCAGTCAGGTGTCTCTCTGTCCCACTTAGCTTACCTACTTTGTAGACACCCATGTCTAGAAGTGGCTTCTGTTGCTTCTGCCCTGGCTGTACTCTTGGGAGTGGCTAACATCTACAGATATCAGTGCTGACATCTCTTTCCATCCTTGCTGGCTCTGTGTGACCTAAGTCTGTCCCACTGCAGCCTAGATAATTGGCCCCAATTTCATTCCCAAGAGCCTAGGCAGGCCTATGACCACTAGACCCTCCATATCCCCTACACTTATTGAACACTAGGATGGAGCTTCTCCTAACCTTTAGAGAATGCCTGTGAAGGCCAGGTTTGTGCTGCCTGCAAGGTGTTTGTAGAACCCCCTTGATAGGCACAGATAAGGGCTCCAGCTGTACAACACAAATGTGCTGTGACACAGTGCCTACTCCATGCCTGATGCCACACTCCAGCTGATACCACATCAGTTGTGCACTAATGCTATTTCCTTCTGTGATTCCTGGCATACTTGCTCCTCCCTCGAAATGCCTTCATTCAAATCACTCCAGGCAAGGTGCCCAGGCCATCAAGGCCACACCACCCTGATGCTAGAGGCACTGTGTGGACACCCCTACCTGCTAAAAGTTCTCTCCCTCTCTCCCTGGGGGCCCAGATGCTGTCTTCATTACACCTCTAAATCCCACACAGGATTCACTTGTCCCTGTAAGCTGAGTGTTTACCTGTCTCAGTCCCATGTTGCCTCTAGATTGAACATTTTCTCCTCTGCCTCCATGAACCCACCCAGCCCTTCAAAGTATGTTTCACTAAA